ACTGGGCTAAGGGCAGGGACTACACTGTAACTAATGGTCAACTCCAAAATGAGGGATTTATCTTTTACTACTCCACAAATTGCTGTCTGTCAGATACTCCTCTAAGTCTAAACATTCAGATTAAGAGAGACTAGGAAGAAGGGTTGGCCATCCACTTCTGAAATGGCAGGCCTCTGAAAACCCTATGTACAACACAACACACGTAGATGAACAGGAAGGGCAACCTAGGTAGAACTGTCAAGCATGGAAATATTAACTATACACTTTAAAAATTATGAACCATGCACAAGTTTAGATGAAGTAGTAGTACTAATGGTCTATGTCCTATTTAAAAACCATGTAATTCATTTATCACAGATGCATGGTAGTCACAAAAAGTTTCAGAACACATTGTATTGATTTTGAAAGGTCATTTGCATGATTTCAACTTCATCTCCATTTAACTTGTTTGTAAAGTTTATGTGCCCATTTGCAAAACAAAAATCAGTAATAGTACTATGAAAGATGTTAACAATGTTTAGTCATTGACTGATTTTTGTCTAACCTTAAAATTTTGTGGTTATTGACCTTTGTTGGATTTATTCTAAAACCCTTACCAAATTATCTAGCTCTTTTGAATATCAACATGACCCTGGAATATTCACTGCTGTTATGTGTTATTGTTCACTGTTGCTGTTTTATGCTTTCATATTAGCAAAATATGAAATTCTGTAAAGAAGAAAACATTTGATCTTAAACAACCAAAACCCCCAACAAATCAAAAAAAGACTTCTCCACCTTCTGTAGCAAGAAACAAATTGCTTGTTCTTGAGAACTTTCCCGTCAAGAATTAAGTAGATGCAGATATATTAATATACTTATATAATTTTGATGTTTTTGTCTGTTTCCAAACAGTGTACTTTGAAATCAGAATCACTCCTTATTAGTTTTCATATAATTCTCATGATGCTCTTTATAACACGTTAGTGATCAGAAATGAGATATAATTCCCCAATCCCTGCCCACAAGAGCGAAATAGGAACTTACTGTAAGTTGAAGGGGAGTTTTGCTTTAACTCATGAATTGTGCAAGAATGAACTGCTGTTGGATTTGATTAATTGCAGATGGATTGTGGTGTGGTATATTTGAAGACTATTGAATGCAACTTGCAATGCTTAATAAAAGTCTTTATTTTTTTAATATTAAGATTTTTCACAATAGAATCCATAATTCTAAAAATATGTACCTTATTCTGTAGATACCAAAGTATTATCCTCAAAATGTGGAATTATAGGTAGGTAATTTTTAAATCCTCTTTGTGCTTTTGCATGTTTACTCTCTTTTTTTTACAATGAATTGCTTTTGTGACCAGAAGAAATATGAGAACAGAAAGAAGGTCTCTCATATCCGTTGACAGAGGAGGTGCTGTCCCATATGCCTGTCTCTTTGCTTCCCTAGGTTTTGGCACCATGTTGTCCTCCGTGGCCCTTCTTTCCATTCTGGTCTTCATTCCCTCAGCTGTGGTGGTGGTTCTGTTGCTGTTCAGAATGATGAAGAAGGCAGCAAGCCTGAAGAAGAGGAACAAGTCGGGCTATAAGAAGTCATCTATCGAGGTTTCTGATGAGTAAGTCCAGCTGGAGCTCTGGGCAGTAAACCCGTATCCTCCACAGGATCCTGCTCTGTGGACAGTTCTCAGAGCCTTGTGTTCAAGACTTCTTTTCTCCCAGGGCACTTTTAGTTCCACTGATGCATTTATTTTAAAGAGAAGAGTTCTACTGAGGAGTACCAGAGGAAGACTGACTGTGAGGTCTGAAGATACTACTTTTGAGGGAGGTAGAAGAGCTATATAGTCCTACTTTCCTACTTTGGGAATCAGACTATTTAAAGCCATTATTCTGAGTATAAATTCTAATGTAGATATCCCATAATTTCAAATTTGACCAGGGAGGGCATAGCTGATTTAAAGAGCCATGTCTATTCTTATTGAGCAGTTTCTCTGACGGGCTTCCCTCTACAGTGATTTTCAAATGTATCTACCGAACATTAGTCGACCTGTGAGGAAACATGATCCAATTTCCTCCACCATTAAGAACAAACTGCTTAAAAAAATTAGTTTACATAAAATTTGTTAGTCCTCCATTATTTTTATCAGAAAGTCTAAAATGTTCTTTTTTCTCTCTCTCTCTTTGTGTGTGTGTACATTTACCTAATGAAAGAGAATATAAATATTAAAAGACTCTCCCTAAAAAGTAAAGAGTTCTTGGCAAATACCTAAAATGTCTACTTCTGAGCAGCATAGCACACAATACCCTTTATGGTCTGACTGTAATTCACACTATATTTTGCCATTTCATCTCATCCACCCCTGTACTCCAGCTAAAGCGGAGTTTTTCTTTCTGCTGTCCTGCTAAGAATACTACACTCATTCAAAGCCCTCCCCACGCTCCCCATACTTTTCTCTAGACCTGGAGTGTTCTCCAGCCCATGTTTGACAGGCAATCTCCACCACCCAGCAGAAATGTCTCCTCTTAAATTCCCAAAGTCCTCCCGGGAGCATGCGTCAGTCTCTCTTCTTGGCTACCACAGCAGCTTGTCCTTACCTCTAGGAAAACATTCATCATGTTGTATTGTAATGAACCTGTTAATTTTTAACAGATCTCTCACTCCTGAAGATGGTGAGCTGTTTTCGATGCTTTATTTAACTCTTTATCCTCAGCCTGGCACAGTGCCTGGGGCGTAGTGGGTGGTTGGTAATTTCTGAATGAGTGATTATGACTTTTTGTTGTTAGATACCATCGAGACAACTATGACTCACAGCAACTCTAAGAACAACAGATCAGACTCTGGCCTTATCCTGTGCTGTCCTCATGATCTCAGCCATGTTCAAACCCACTTTATCAGTCACTGTGTCACTCCATGGCACTGAGGGTCTTCCTCTCTTTCACTGGACATCTACTTTCCCCAGCATGATATGTTTTTTTCCAAGGACAGGCACCTTCTGACACACCCAAAATATATAAGATGAAATTTCACCATCCTTGTCTCTAAAGAACACTCTGGTTGCAATTGTACTTCTCAGAGACAGATTAGTTGATCCTTTTGGCAGTCCATGGGATATTCAGTCCTCTTCACCTACACCACAGTTCAAACACATCAGTTCTTCTATGGCCTTCCTTATTCATAGCTCCTATTTATTGAAGACTTACTGTGTATGTGTTTCATATATATTTATTTTCTGTATACTCATAATAGTTATCATTTAGAAGTGGGTGGTGATATCTGCATTTTATAGATGAGGGAACAGGTTCTGGGAGCTTAAGTAACTTGCCCAAGAGTCACCCGCCTAGGAAGTAGCAGAACTGGAATTTGAAATCAGACCTGTCTGACTTGAACTGCTCTGCTGTACTGAGGGTAGTGATGATTCAGGCTTGGTCTGACCTCTTTCCACAGCACTGACCAGGAGGAAGGAGATGGCTGCATGAGGAGGCTCTGTATCCGCTGTGCCGAGTGCCTGGTAGGTTCATGCCCTCTCGCCTGTTTACTGCAGGCATCCTTCTCTGCTTACTTAAGGGGGTTATTTACACATGCAGCAAGTCCAAGGCAAGATGTGAACAAGAGCACTTGGTTCTCAGGGGCTCCCTACTAATTCTAACCATTATTTTATTTCCTGTTTCATAGAGGGGGGAGGAGAGTAACCTCTTTTGGAGGTTAGGGAGGGGCATTGTGTGGAACTGCTGACTAAGAGAAAATCTGGAAGGAGAGTGCTGTATGCCACTCAGTTCATACTTGGGTACTTCCACTGGCTAGGCTGTTTCTGTTAAGTGCTGTCAAGTCAACTAGACCTCATATTGACCCTGTGAAGATCAGATGGAAATTTGCTCTGTCCTGCACCATTCTTATAGACTCCACCACACTTGAGCATACCACTCATCCATCAGTTTGCTGTATTGTGGTGGGCTGTGTGTTGCCGTGATGCTGGAAGCTATGTCACTGGTATTTCAAATACCTTCAGGATCACCCATGGTGGACAGATCTTCCAGACGAAGGAAGCCGAGCTGGCTGTCCACTGCACACATGACAGGCCTTCCAAAATCCATGGATAAGACTCTATCATTGGCTGGACTATAGCCCTGCATTTAACTTTTCTATTAAGCTTCAAGGTTTTCAAGTGATTGAGTAGTATAACATTTTATATGACTTGACAACTTTTATTGATAAGAAATACACTAATAAGGATGAATACTGTATAAAATCATTATTGTAGAATGAGTAGGAGAATCCAAAGGTAGGGGGAGGATGGGAGGATGGAAGCAGAGGGGTGAAGATGGGCGAGGGGTGTGTGTGTTAATCATAGGGTAGAACAATTTGATGGGTGGAGGAGGGTGGGTGAAGGAAATGGGAAAGATTTGGTGTGAAAAACAATATATTAGAACTTTGTAAATAAACCGGTATAAAAAAGTTGGGAGGGGGGAGAAATATACCACACAATGTGGATGGTTCTTGAAGACATTATCCTGAGTGAAATATCTCAGTTACAGATAAGCCCATTATTGTAATAACAGGAAAGGGGAAGATAAGGAAAGGGAGAGGAATAGGAAAAGAAAGGATAGATAATGAACACTGCACTAAAATGGGTGAAATATTCTAAAAGGAATGGATGATTAGAAATGATGTATATGACAATTAATAGCCTTACAAGAAGAATTGGGAGAAGGGGAGGGAGGAAAGTGTACATGAATGACTGAATAATAATTTTTAAGGATGGGAGAAAAATACCTTCATGGAAGGCAGGGGTTTTGATTACATTTTCCTATCTCTCCGTGCTCTTGCTATAACTCTTTGACTGGTAGACATGTGTGATCCCAGAAGCAGGAAAGACTCTGATGTGGTGAAGTTTGAAAGAGGCCAAGTGCAACTCATTGTCTAATATGAGATGTAACTATCTCTACAGGGTTTAAAACTTGAGCCCTCTTTGTATTTGCTGCCAAGCTTAGCATTTGGCCAGATGATCACAGCCTGATTACTCATTGCAGACTTCTTTGTTTTTCTTTTTCATGTGTCAAGCCCACTGTCACTGTGTCAATTCTGGCAAAGGGACAAAGTAGAATCATTCTATAGGATGCCCAGGCTGTAAATCTTTGCAAAAGCTAATTGCCACAGGCTGATCCCTTTTCAGTTAGCAGTCAAGCACTTAGCCCCTGTCCCACCAGGGCCTGCTTTCCCTTGTGTACATGAATGTAATAGGTAAAATGGAGAAAGTCAATAACATTCCTATTTTATCTACATTTTAGGTATTCATTCCAGAGTTGTTTTATTGAGCACTTGACATATGCTAGGTACTTAGGAAACATCAATTAATAAAATGGACAGGAAAGAACTACCTTTAAAAAACCTTAAAACATTCTTGGCCTAGAAAACACTTTCACATCCTTCAAGACGTTGTTGTTGTTATGTGCCGTCGAGTCGCTTGTGACTCGTAGCAACCCTATGTACAACAGCCCTAAATTCCGCTCTGTCCTGTGCCAATCGCACTGTCTCTGAC